TCCTGAGCACTAACATGTTGCTTTTCCAGGTACTGATGGGAGTAGGGATTTGCAGGCTGTCTTCTCCCTCTCCCCTCAGCAGAGGTGTATTGATGGGAGAGGCAGGGAGGGTGACTTTGTGCACTTTGTGCCCTTCCCAGTGCACTTTTAGACCTGCAGATAACCTATTCTAAGATAGATCAAAGGGATAGTGGCACTCACATCTCTACTACAGAGATGTGAAAGACAAATGGTCAATGACACATTCCCTGGAGAGCTGGATTTGTTGTTAGAAAGGGAGAAGACCGAAAGGGATATAAAGATCTTGGACCACACAAGATCTTGGACCACTTCTTTTCTCCTTAATTTTTCTTAGCTGGCTGCTCAGATACGGAACTATCTTAAATGTCAGCTCTTTTTCAGTGGCAGTGCTGACCATGTTTTTGTAAACAAAGTGAATGGATAAGGTTGAAAACTCTGGGGTGTTGAATTCCTAGAGATTTGGAGATACAGCCTGGAGAAGGCAGGGTATAGGGAGGGGAGGAACCTCAATGTGGTATTATGCTATAGAGTCCCCCCCCCTTTCAAAGCACCCATTTTTTCCAAGGTAACTGATCTCTGGCCCTGACCTAAATAGCCCAGGCTAGCCCAATCTCTTCAGATCTTGGAAGCTAAGCAGGGTCAGCCCTGATCAGTATTTGGATGGGAGTCCACCAAGGAATACCACAGTCACTATGCAGAGGCAGGCCATTGCAAACCACCTCTGAACATCTCTTGGGAGCCAGTTTGGTGTAGTGGTTAGGAACGCAGACTCTAATCTGGGAGAACCGGGTTTGAGTCCCCACACCTCCACATGCAGCTGCTGGTGTGCCCTTGTGCCAGTCATAAGTTCTTGCAGAAATGTTCTCTCATCGGGTAGTGAAGGGCGGGTATAAATCCAATCTCCTCCTCCTCCTCCTCCTCCTCCTCTTCTTCTTCTTGCCTTGAAAACCCTGTGGGGTCACATTGTCAACTGTGAGCTGTGGCACCTCCCCCAATCTCTGTAGGGCAGAGTTCTAATTCTGGGAGGTCTCCAGGCACTACCTGGAGGTTGGCAACCCTGTGAATAAAACCCAATCTATGGAAACATTTCTGAAAGCTTGTAACTGCAAGAGATGAGACCTATCCTGAGTTTAACATCTCAGGGATTAAGTAAAGAACAAGGTCAGAGGATGTGCAGTTATTATCTTGCTCGTATTTGCTGTGTAAACAGCAAGTGTGCACTTTTATGACTTAAATTCGTCCATAATTTGGATGCCACGGATATGATCTCTGAAGTCAGTGGTGTAATCCCACCACTCCAAGAGTGCATATGTGTCTGGCAGTACTCATGGCCCCTAGAAAGAGAAAGCCAAAAGAGAGATGCAATCTCAAAGTGGAGCCTTTGGATGGCAATGCAATAAAGAGTGCTAAAGCACTAACCCATTAGCAGGAGATACTGTTTGAGGCTAAGAGGCCACAGAGACCCAGAAAGAACAAGAAGGAGAGAAGAAAAAGTAGGGAGGCCAGGCTGGATAGGGAATCCAGGATGATTGAGTCACTTTACGAGCTGTTATGCCTCCATCTTAAAATCTGTCTAGTTATCTTTTCAATCTTTGTTTTCCCAAAGCCAACCCACACTGAAAAAGAAATGAAATTGCATAACCCTAAAGAATTTGGACAACTGCTTATTGTCATGGAGACAAATTGTATCAAAGATGTTTCTCCTGATATCCTCACAGAGGGTCATGTTGATAAATCCTCCAACGCCTACAAGCCTCAGGACCTTTTTGGAATACATATCCATTGCTGACAGCCCATTCCTTGATCATCCGGCCTATGGAAAGTATGTGGGATTTGCCCTAGTGCAATTTAAGAGGAGGCTTGTCCTGGAAGAAAGAGGTATGCTGCATTGCTTGGTTGCTCTCTGTTGGGCTAGTAGATGGCACAATCAGCCTGGGTTTTCAGAAACCTGTTGCTTTTAAAAGGATCCTAGCGAGCTCACTGCAGTTGCAGTTACACTATGCTGAACGTCACTGAGCAGCATAAATAGCAGACATGAGTGAATGCAAGGACTGGGAAGGCACAGATTTCAAACATACTTGGTTAGGTAGCGTTCCCTTTCTCCTTTCACACATCTCCAGATGCTCAGAGCACTGAGTTGTGCTCCGCTTCTCACACCTTGAATAAAACCTGGTTGGACTCTAAATTTGTTCTACTGCTTCAGACTGACACCGCTGACCACCTGGATCTGCTTCTTTGTGTCTATGAAGACCATTTAGACACATTCCAGCAAAAGAAAAAAATTATTTTCTCACAGGAAGCAAAGTCATCAACTGGATTTCACTGAAGTCAGGTTTGGATCTGGAATTTCAGTTTTAGTGTAACTCTTTGAAATGTCTCTGTAGTTTATCTGGGTGATCATCTGAGGGTGAACGCATAGCTGAAGTGTCAGAAGGATTGTTTCTGTTATGGGGTGCTTTTCAGTTGATAGTAAATTGTCTTGAAGAGAATCACAGAGCTGTTATTTGATGAAAACTAAACATTTTTTCTAGGCTTGGGGGAATTTAGAGATGTCTGCTGCTACTGAGAGTGGTAAACAGATTTAATACCAAAAAAAAGGCAGTTCCTACCTATTTACCCATAGAAGCAAATGCAAATATGAAAATAACATTTTTTTCTTTATTAATTGCCTCTGCTGCCTTTGCATTTTTTCTCTGTGTTGTAAGGAACTGTGCTAGGTGCTGGATAACAATTTTGTACTGTTTAACATAATGCCTGCGTTTTCCAGAATAGGGATTTCCTCTCACAACGAAAAGCCTAAATGGAATCTATTATAATAGGTTTCCAAAGAGCATTAAATAAAGGCTGGGAAATTTCAGGGATGTGATATAGTGGTTTTGTATTGAACTAGGACCTGGATTCAAACCCCCACTCTGACATAAGTCTCTCTGAGAGATCTTGGGCCAGTTTCTCAGCTTAGCCTGAGGGCCAAATTAAACATTATTGCTTTCAAAGAGTTGGGTCCAAGATTCCCGAACCCAACTCATGCTCTCTGGAGCCTCACAGACACTGCAGGGAATAACTCCACTTTTCTTAAGAGCCGAAAGAGGCTCAGAATGGCACTGTGGGGGAAGGAATGCTCCCACCTCCTCCCAGTTATTTTTCCCATGCAAAAACTGCTGGGAAAGGGCTTATTTCCCAGATTTTGCTGCTCCACATATAGTCAACACAGGCTGCGGTCACATGGAGCATTAGCCACACTACTGAGACGGATGATAGGTGGATTTTCCAGGCGCAATCACACCGCAACATCTGGAAAGCATAGAGCTCCCATGGCGAACCCGAGGCTTTCCGCCGAAGATGCGGAGTTAAAAACTAGTACCTCCAAGGTACTAGTTTCTGGAAACTGCGGGGCAAGGGCTGGCGTCTGATCGCCTTTCCAGTGGTAGTCTGTGGCATCCGGCGCCCACCCATGTCCCATCACAAACAGGGTTTTCCCCCCAAGTCTCCACAGGATGCGCACAAGCACCCAATGGCGCATGCGCACGAAGAGGAAAGTGAAAGTTCCGTTGCTCCGCAGAATCGTGCATGCCGTTGGTGAGATCGTGCCGTGCTGCTTCTTTGCCGCGCTGCAGGATCATTGTGTGATCGCCACCTCGCCCCTACCCACGGGACCTCGACGGGACCTGTGATCGGGCAGCCGCACGTTATTTTGCTCCGGCCCAAACTGCCACACTTCCCCCCCCCCTGCATTTTACGGCCCATGTGACCGGGACCACAGCGCAGCAAAATCTGGGAAAGAACTCCCCTCAACAATGCAGTCCTAAACAGGGTTACACCCTTCTAGGCCCATTGATATAAATGGTCTTAGAAAGCTGGGACTTAGAATCCCTTAAATCTAGTTGAACTGATTTAGCAGATTTTGAAAGAGCTGTCACCCATTCCTTAGAGAACCACTTAAACAGGGTTTGCTCTAAGTGTTAATTTCCCCCCCTTTTTTTGCATTTAAAATATTGTTTGTCTTTAACATATTCATTTCCCACACACATTCTCCCTGTAATTTTCTCCCCAAACACTTGTGGGATGCATTCCATCATAAGCCCTAGACACTACTACAGATGATGGGCAAAATGCCAACACAGCCACCCATGCTGACAATAGGAACCAGCTCATCTTCATATCTGCTCTTCTTTTTTGAAGGACCAACAGGAATTTGGTACTCCAGATCAGCAGAGAGTGAACCATATGAACTTCCTGTCAGCACTTGCACCAGCATAGTGATTCCTTTGATAAGGTTCCACCCCCCCGCAAAAAAATCATGTGCATTGATTTTTGCCATCGACTTTGCCTTTAAAAAGGTTTGTTGGCACATTATGTGACATGACCCAAAAGCAGCAAACGTGCATACAACTGCCTTATTCCATACTGATGTGGCTGCAAGACAGCATGGGCCAACAGAAAAACGAGGCTCCAATAGCCTTGTATAAATATGGATATTCTTTAAACCTCACAGAAATGGTACTCCATATTAGTACAATACTGAACTAGGTCAACACTGTTTAGAGAAAGGCATAAGGTGGTGGTTAGTAGACTGTATTCTTTGAATAGTGGGCAGCAAAGTGCCTGTCTTAAAGCTGGATTAGCTGATCAGACAGGTAAAAGGTACATTTCATAGCTTAGCCTTCTCTTAAAGAGCTAAGCTGTGTGTCATTTCATCACCCCATCTCTGATTAGAACACACAATTTAGACTCAACAAAATTTAGCCTATGAGCGTTAGAGCTCCGCAATCTTAGCATTCTAAGATTCCCTGTAGTGCTGTATTTCTGGGGATAGGGTCATCGGGTACTGGCTTCTGATTCAATATGAATAATGCTGGCTAGGAAATGATATTCTTTTCTTCTCCTTCCAGCATAGTCAGATGGAACAAACTCACTTTGGACTGCTTAATGTATGTTGAGTTAGATTGCTCAAGAGGATGGAAGACACATTCTCATCAACAATGGGGATGGCCACAGTCACAGACCAAGGCGGCCAACTCAGAACCAGCCCCAGCCCCAGCATTTCCTACAATGCTACCTGGGATAACACCTCAACAGTCAGCTCCAGCTCCATGGAAGACATCATTGCCACATGTACCATTGGGACTATCCTCTCTGTCATGTGCATTATTGGAGTGACAGGCAATATATATACTTTGGTAGTGATGCACCATTATCTGAGATACTCCACTTCTATGTACATATACATAATCAACCTTGCCCTTGCAGACCTCCTGTACCTTCTCACCATCCCTTTTGTCGTTGGGACATATTTTGTTCAGGAATGGTATTTCGGGGACATTGGATGTCGGATTCTTTTCAGTTTAGATTTCCTGACAATGCATGCAAGCATCTTCACTTTGATGGTGATGAGTACAGAGAGGTACCTTGCAGTGCTGAAGCCTCTGGACACTGTGAAAAGATCTAAGAGCTATCGGAAAGCCATTGCCATTGTCATCTGGATAGTATCTCTGCTTCTCACTTTCCCTATGCTTATCATGATCCAGCTTGTACAAGGAAACAAGAAACTCTGCCTTCCTACCTGGAGCAAATTGTCCTCCAAAATCTATATCACCATCCTCTTCTGCACCAGCATTGTGGGTCCAGGGGTAATAATTGGGTACCTTTATATTAAACTGGCAAGAACTTACTGGGTGTCCCAAACAATTTCTTTTAAACAGTCTAAACAGCTTCCCAACCAAAAGGTATTATATTTAATTTTTACTATTGTGCTGGTCTTTTGGGCTTGCTTTTTGCCTTTCTGGATATGGCAACTCATTTCTCAGTATTGTGAACATTTCCCAATTTCCAAGAAGGCCTTAAGAAACATCAACTATCTAACCACATGCCTGACTTACAGCAACAGCTGCATCAATCCTTTCCTCTATACTTTGCTGACCAAAAACTACAAGGAGTATTTAAGGAACAGGCAGCATTCATTTAACAGCAGTAATGGCTATTTTCAGAGGAGGAACAGGTTTCAGAGAATTTCTGGGAGATCATTTTCCTCATGCAGCCAGCACTATACTGAGACAGTGGAGCTTTCTCCCATCTCTTGAGGAAAAAGCCTTCCTCAAAATGATAACCATCATCAGTAAGTACAGCCTGAACAGAAAATGTGCTTTGAAGCTGACCAAATCTCAGAAGTTTGGCAACACAAAAGTATCAAGGAAGCATCACAAATGAACATAGTTTTGGACTGCCACCTGCTAAAGGAACGTTTCTATTTCTTTCTGCATTTGAAGTAACTGTGATGTGTTCCCGTCAGTAAGAGTAAACCGCATGCACGTCTAAAGATATACTTTAAGAATTCCTCTAGCTACTCCATAACATGCCTTCTTAAGTTATTGAACCAATGTTTGCAAAATGTCATAGAATCATAGAGTTGGAAAGGCCCTTGAGGATCATTGAGTTCAAATTAATTTAAATCCACAAATACCTCCCCACACACGAACCTAGTGACTGCTGTTTCATACCCAGAAGATGACAAAAAAACCTCCAGGATCTCCAGCCAAAAAGGCTCGGAGAAAAATTGCTTCCTGACCTCAAAGTGGTGACCAGCATTTCCCTGGGCATGTAAGAAAGGGCCATGAGAACTAAGCACTGCCCTCCCTTTCATGATCTGCCTAAGTTCACAGAATCAGCATTGCTGTCAGATGGCCATCTAGCCTCTGTTTGAAAACCTCCAAAGAAGGAGAGCCCACCACCTCTCAAGGAAGCCTGTTCTACGATGAACTGCTCTAATTATCAGAAAGTTCTTCCTAATGTTTAGCTGAAAACTCTTCTGATCTTATTTCTTCCTTTTGTTTTTTTGGTATATAAATTTTTATTTAGTTTTAACACATTATAGGACTGGAAGGGTACAAGGGATGAGATAAGACATAAAGGGAAGTTCCATCAAGTTTATATAAAAGCTGTTACAAATTTTCCATCTTAATTCTTCATTTCCAGATCTCTTTCTTTTAAGTATTTACTAAAGCTAATAATGCTTAATCGGATCACTAAAATCTTCTATAATGGTTCCTGAAAAAAGGTACTATGCCTTTCAAGTTAGACTTTCTCCAAGTTAATGATAGTTATATTTATTGTTCATGGTCTTCAAAGTTTCTTTCCACCCAGTCATAAAATGGTATCCAATTGTCTCTCACTTTTTGTTTACTTCGGTCTTTTAACAAGTCCGACAATATATCCATTTCGGCTGCAATTTTTTTTTGTCAAAAGTTCATTTCCATTGGTATCTCTGATTTCTTCCAGTACTTAGCATAAAGAATTCTTGCTGCCCTAGCTAGATGTATAATTAAGTGCTTAACTTTCTTATCTTTTACATCAGACGTAATATGAAGTAAAATAATTTCAGGTTTAGATGGTAGCGATATCAAACATATTTCTTGTAACATTTCATGAACCCTTCTCCAGTATAACATCACCTCTTTAGACTTCCACCAAACATGAAAAAAGCTTCCCACCCATATCTTACATTTCTAACATTTGTCAGACATTCCAGGGTACATTCTGGCTAATTTTTCTGGCGTTATATGCCAACTATAAAACATTTTATATAGATTCTCTTTAAAAGAAACTGATTTTGTTATTTTAACATTTGTTTTCCATATTTGCAACCAATTTTGGCCCATTTTATCATACATTCTTTAATCACCTTATCCTCCATCTTTATCTGTAATAAATAGACATAAAATTTCTTAATTAATTTATTCTGTATAAAAGTGTATTAAATGCTGATTGTTGTGCATCGAACCCCTGAGGTTTATCTTTAGCATATCTAGATTTCAACTGTACTCTTGTCCACCAATCCAAATATATATCACATTCCTCTAATCCTTCTTTGGATTTCAGCCTATCATCCTTTCCTAATAAATCATATCTAGGTACTTTTTTCTTCTCCAATAATATAGGTTGAGTAAATGCTTCCACTGGAAAGACCCATTTCAGGATCACATATATTTTATGTCTGATTCTTTCCCATACTAACAGCAGTGCTTTCCTCATCAAATAGTTTTAAATATATTTATGATTGCCCGCTTTTTGATACCAAAGATAGGCATGCCATCCTAGCTTTAAATCATGTCCCTCCAATTTTAGCAATTCAGTATTTTCAATTCTTATCCATTCTTTAATCCATGTCAAAGCACAAGCTTTGTAATATATTTCCTAATCTGGAGGACTAAATTCTGTTTAAAGTCCTGTTATGCCTTCAATTTTATCCTAGGTTTCTTTCCTTGCCATATAAATTTCATTGTTATTTTGTTCAGTTCCTGGAAGTATGATTGCTTCTGTAAAATTGGAATAGAAAAAGAAAAAATAAGTCTAGGAAGGATATTCATTTTAATTGTGGCTATTCTTTCCATTTGCCAAAATCTTTTTGGATTTCTTTTAATAGTTTCATATCATTGTCTTCCATCAAAGAACTCCATTTATTTGTCAAAACAATGCCTAAGTATTTCACTGTTCGCTCTGATTGAAATCCTGTCTTCTCAACCAGCTCTTTTATTATAGCTTGTGTTATATTTTTCCTAATAATCTTTGTCTTCTGTCTGTTCACTTTCATTCCCACCATCTCACCAAATTCCATTAAGTTCTTCATCAAACTGTCTATAGAAGTTCTAGGATCTTCTAAAATAAAAGCTAAATCACCTGCAAAGGCTTGTACTTTATATTCTTCACCACGTATTGTTTTTCCTCTAATACTTTTATCTTCTCTGATCAAGTTGCTTAATACTTCCAGAGTGAGGATAAATATTAATGGGGATAATGGACACCCTTGTCTCACTTTGGCACTCTGTTGTTACTTTCTTCTTGTCAATATTTTTCCTTCTCTCTCCTAAGTTTGTATGCCAGCCATCTTCCTGATTTATTAGCATTTTCAAAGTAATTTTGCTTTGCAAATTTGATTTTCCTAGCAATTTCTTCAGACAATATCACATTAATTTGATGTTGTAGCAATTGTATTTTTATTTTCAACTCAATAACCATTGGATATTTTTTCAGTTTTTCTTCCTGCTTTAATAATTGCTCTTTCAATCCTGGAATTTCTTCGACCTATCTTTCTTTTGCTTTGCTGCAAATTTGACTGCCATTCCTCTGAAGAAGGCCTTGCTCGCATCCCAAACTGTATTTATGGAGATGTTCGGCTGAATATTTTGTTTGAATAAATGTTCTAGTTCCTTTTTTTGTCTCTGTCACAAACTTCTAATTTTTCAAGTGCTGTATGTTCAGCTTCCAACTAAATTTCTTAGAAACGCCCGCCATTTTCAAGAATACAGGATTATGATCTGCAAAAGTCTTTGGTAGGATATCTGCTTCTCCTACATTCTTCATCAAACTCAAGATCCAGCACATATCAATTCTAGACCAAGATTTGTGTCTTTGAGAATAACAATAAAGTCCTTTGTTATTGGATTTCTTGTTCTTCATGCATCAACGAAATTATATTCTTCTGCTAATTGTAGAAACGTCTTTGGCAGGAGTGTTCCAGGTTTTTAAATTTTTAAGCTGTTTTTCTTTCTTGTGCTTTATCAAAAACTGCATTATAATCTCCAACCAGGAAATGTTCCTCATATTCGTAAGTTGCTAATTTCTGTTCCAGATCCTTATACAAATTTTCTTGATGGTCATTTGGTGTATAGATATTAGTCACTAGAATTTTCTGCTTAAGGCGATAGCCGTATGAGCAGTACTAGATAGTTTGGGGAATTATCTTCTAAGAGCTGAGTCAATAGTTGTTTATTGGATAATAAACCCATGTCTTTTATTGATACCTAAATTGGCAGCTGAGCAGGTGAAAGGTTGGGAGGGAATAGGTTTTGAAACTCATGGTCTAGGAGTCTTTTCTGAATTATTTGTGAAATATAAATTTCATCAAATAAAAGAACTCAGTTGGAATACCAATTTGTTGAAGCTTAGAAACAAATACAGAAAACCAATCAATTACGCTGATCTTTCATCAGGTGGAAGAGTAGACTCTCGGGATCTGATCTAAAATGGATTTTTAAACAGTATTTAAAGGCCATAGTCCAGGCATTAGTCTAGCATTATAGATCTTATTAACCACTGGAATGAACTGGTTGCCCCCTGTAAGGAAGAACTTTTTGATTTGAGCCAAGGAGCAATTCGCTAAATTTATAGATCTGTTAAAATGAGTTGGTCATTTTAGGCCAAGTTCAGACTGGCAGTTTGGCCCGGCAGCCAAACGTTTCAGGAGCGTTTCGGGAGTGGATTAAAGGGGCGGGTTCACACTGGCACATCTGTCAGGCGTCCCCCAGCCGTACTCAAGCCATCTTGTGCCGCTTCCCTCCTGAGTTTAAAAAGTACCAGGTGAAAGTGGTAGCAAACAGTATGTAGAGTAGGTTGATTCTGGTTCCCTGAGTGTGAACGCAAGCACTGCTAAGGCAGGAACAACCTGCAATCGATAATAGGCACCGGCTGGTTCTGCGGGCAGGTGCCTATGTGCACGACCGCAGCTGTGTGATGCTTCTGGCATGTGGAGTTAAAGCTCCAGACAGGCAGTCACTTGGGAGACAGACCGGCAACATGGCAGACCGATGAGGACCCTCCTGGAGAAGGCCAGAGACATTGGCACTACTGGAAGTGTGGGGTCAGCCCTGAGTGCAGGAGGCCCTCCGTGAGTCAGGGAGGAACATTGAGATCTATGAGCAGGTGGCCTAAGAAATGGCTGCCCGGGGCCACAGCCATACAGCTGAGGCATGTCGCGCCAAGACAAAAACTATGCGGCTGCTGTACAAGCGGACATTGGCACACAACAGCATCCAAGAGAATGCAAAGACAACACGTCCCTTCTTCAAACATCTGCATGGAATCTTGAAGGGGGATGCCAGTGTCAAGTCCAGGAAGGTTCACAACAGCTTGCCCCTGGAGACCTGCCCATCCACCAGCAGCTCACAGGAGACTGCACAGAGCCAACCTGCATCCCCACAGGAACGCTTCCAGCTTACCCTGGAGCCAGATGAGGAGGAGTCAGTGCCAGAGGTCCTAGTTCCAGGTAGGTGGGGAGTACTCTCCAAAGGGCCCCACCCATGCAGAG